TGAGGAACATTTGGAGGGCCCCATGCCAATGCGGTTCCTCTTCAGAGTCCCTAAATACAAAGGACCCACCTAAGACAGGCCTTCCCCGCCACGGCACGACGGACCCTCTGAGCCAGGTAATTCCTAGGCAGGGCTGTCCCGTGCATCGTCCCCTGTGGCATCTGCCACTCGGTGTCAGGAGCAGTCCCTCCCGACATCCAGCTCTGACAACCAAAGTCATCTCACCATCAGCTCCTGGGGGGGGGGGGGCCCAGGTGAAACCCAGGGACTTAAGGCAAGGAAGCAACAGATACCTCCTGCTTGACACCAGTTCTCTTCAGAAGAAAGAGATTCCGTAGCACAAGCCATGGAAACTTTTCAGTTCTTGAAGCTGTAATTTTCCCACATTTGCCCACGGCGAAATCAGTAAAACCGCAGGAAAGAAAAATGGGTCACTGGAGTGTGGGCAGCCGGAAAAGGAAAGCCAAGGATCCCTGACCCAACCCATCTCAGGAAGAGCAAAAACCCAACATGCCCTGGGTGGGCTCAGGGCTGAGGGGGGCCCAGGGCACTAAAGCACAAAGGGGAAAGGGCCTGGAGGCCCAGGCCTGCTCCCAAGACCAGCTCTGACAGCGGGCCCTGAACAGCACTAACTCTCTACCCCAAAAACGGTCACCCTCCCAAAGCTTCACCTCCCAAAACCACCTCACAGAAACAGTGGGGGAGGAAAAAAGATCAAAAAGGTAGAATACATTAGTATTTACAAATACTTAACTCGCTTCCTCCAGGTATTTCTAAATGGACCCTTATATCACCTTCATCTTAAAGAATAAAATAAAATAAAAAGAGCCCTGGCTGGTTTGCCTCAGCAGTTAGAGCATCGGCCCACAGACCAGAGAGGCCCGGGTTCGGTTCCCGCTAAGGGCAAGTACCTTGGTTGCAGTTTGAACCCAGTCCCGGTTGGGGTCATGTGGGTGGCAACCACTCGATGTGTCTCTCTTGCATCGATGTTTCTCTCTCTCTCTTCCTCCCTCTCTCCCTCCCACTTTATCTGAAGATAAGTGCAAAAATATCCTCAGGTGAGGTTTAAAAATAAAATAAAAAGAGGAAAAAAAACTCCAGTCAATGTCTTCAGATCTATCATTCCCCACAACCCTAATCCAGTATAAAACTCATAATGGGGCACCCCACAAAAGAGAGGAGAAAGGTCAGTCATGGAGAGACTGGGGAGTCCCCACAGAAGAAGTCACTTCCATTCTTAAGTTTCCCCTCTAGGAAAAAGGAGGGTCTACATTTCTTTAATTCTGCTCTGATTTTTACTTAGTAAACCACAGCCATGTTTGCTACTTAAGATCTTTGCAATCATGAAAAACTTCCAAGAAGTGATCATCACTTCCTAAAAGGAAGAGAATGACACAGCGCAGAAATCACATAGGGAAATAAAACAGCAACAAGGAGGACTCTGAGCTAAGGAATTTCCGTTTTGTTTATTTTCTGTGCTTTCGGGTTTTAATATGACTACATAAAACTAATTATATCAGATTTTTTAAATGGCCCCTATTTCCTGAAGTCACTAGAAATAACTCAAGGTTTTTTGTGTGTGTCGTGGTTTTTTGTTTCTTAATAAACAGGGGCTGCATGTTCTGTACACCAGAAAATTATTTGTAATTTTAATATGTTTTTAACTGATTTCAGAGAGAGGAAGGGAGCTGGAGAGAGAAACAGAAACACCGATGAGAATGAAACATTGATCAGCTTCATGCCCCTAACTGGTGATTGAGCCCACAGCCCAGGCATATGCCCTGATGGGGAATGAAACCGGCAACCTTGGGGTGCATGGGACAATACTCAACTGAGCCACAACAGCCGGGCCAGAAAATTCTTAAGAGGAAGAGAGATCCTACATAGATATCATTTGAGAAATTGTCCTTGTAGGTGATCACAGAACAAAAGACAAAAAGGCACAAGGACCCCAGCTACCATTCTTGAACACGGCTGTGCTGATTGGTCACTGTTCCCCATCCTCCAGTAAGAACCCTGACCAAAGGAAAGGTTCGACTTTGCATGAGTAACCTGTTCTATAATATCCTTACCACAGAGGCCAAAATAGTAGGAACTAAAAAAACCAACAAACCAACCACCTGATTGAGAATTGAGCTTCGTGATGTGGGAACTTCACAATACCTCTCTTGGCTTCAATGTTCACATCTGTAAATTGGACTGGAGTGTAAACTAGCCTCTGCCAGTTTCATGCCATATCATTAATTCATTCATCCATTCCTTTATTCAATCATTCATCCATCTATCCATTCACCCATCCATCCATTCACCCACCCACCCATCTATCCATCCATCCATCCATCATCCATCCATCCATCCATCATCCATCCATCCATCCAGTCATTCATCCAACCATTCAATCATTCATCCATACATCAAATATTTATTGAGCCACAGATGTCAAGCACTATTTCAGGTGCTGGGGAAAACAGTGAACAACAAAGACTGACATCCCTAATGGAGTTTGCATTCTAGATTCTGAAACTTACTAGAAATCAATGTTTTTCAGACTATGGGTTGTGAAACCCATTTAGCAGGATCAAATGAGCATTTTCAAAAGAATCAATTGAATAGTTTAAAACCTCAGAGTTCATTACACATGAGAAGAATAAGTTCTGCTCCAGCCATTGACACCTGCACTGGGTGTCAAGCAGTCTAAGACACTTCTGAATGAGGGCTGGCTGTACTGACCCAAGGAAGACCTCTTTCTGCTCCAGCTGCTGGCCCTCATCCTATCCTGCATGCAGGCTGCTTCTTAAGAACACTCTGCCCATAGATTAAATCTTGTCATTTTCTCATTGGCCCCATGATGGCATTTTGGATAAATAACAAAGAATATGTGTTTCCACAAAGAATAACAAAGAATATCTGTGTCCCAGCCTTTCTGAGTGGAATTTCTTTGAACATCAGTCCTTTTTTGAGCACTATTTGTCTCTGATTAAGAAAATGCAGAGTGGTCAAAAACCACATGAGCTTTTAAATGGATTGATGGTGTTATCTGTCCTGAGAGCTCCTATATAGAAACAAAGAGAACCAGCACACTGAAGACACAGAATTGATTCCATCTAGGACCCAGACATCAGTTGATGTTCAAACAGATGGCAGGCTACCTGTGCCTGGGGGGGCCCTGGGGAGCCCTGGGAAGAGACTGGGGATGACTAGTCCAGGTCCCCACTCCATTTGCGTATCTGAGAATCGCCGTGTTCCTACTAGAGGACTGCTATGGTTTCTGTTTGTTCTAATGCTCTCTCCCCTCCTTTTTCCAACTGAAGCAAAACACTAAATCTGAGCACTAGTGGGTACCTGAGTTTGGTTTCTGTCACTTGCTATTTCATAATTTTGTTTTTAACCCCATGAGCCCAGCCCCCGACAGTTCGCTCCTGGGAATTGGAATAAAATTGTTATGTGCCTGGGGACATACTCAACCGTACCAACTGCTTTTGTTCCAGCAGAAAACATTGGAAGGCAGCAACTGTGGCCACTGGGAAAGTGAAAGGAGCTGACACAGGGCCAACTCGAACTAAGACCAGCAGCATGAACCCTCCTGGGACCTCACTCCCTCTGCACGCTGATCCTGGGCTCAGCTTCAAGTCAGGACACCGTGCTTCCACGGCCCCTGTCACCGGGGCTTCACTCTGTCACCGCGCTCGAGCTTCCCACTCCCACTGTGTGCTCTCCGGAAGCATTTCCTGCACACGAGAATGGATGTGTGGCCCTCTCCTTCTAGGGGCCAGGCACAGAGAAGGACGCCCTTTATGACAGGTCTGAGGTGGCCCCAGTGGCCAACTAGCTGCTGCCTACCAGCCCCCAACTTCCAAAGACCAGCTCTAACTGGTATTCTCTACATTTTCCCTTCCTGGAAACCCAAATGACACCCCAAGGGTGGCTATGGGTTGCAGCCCATCCGTCAGAGGAAGGCTGCAAACCTGCAACCTGAACACTGATAACTGGGTTTCACGCTGGATCCTTTACCAGTTTTTTTCTCTAATTTTACCCAGTTTTTTTTTGTTTGTTTTTGTTTTTTTTATCCTCACCCGAGGACATTTTTCCATTTTTTTTTGTTCAGGTAGAGTGGGAGGGAGAGAGAGGAACAGAGAGAGAAAGAGAAACATCGACGTGAAAGGGACACATCAAGTGGCTGCCACCCGCACGACCGACCAGGGCCGGGGACAAACTGCAACCGAGGTACGTGCCCGGTTTTTAAGCTTACAAAGAGCAAAATGTTATAAGGAAAAAAATTAAGTTCTAGGAAAATCTCCTTATTTCTCTGGCAAGTTACAGAGGAGGTCATTTCCTGGTCACCAAGCGTCAGCTGTGACATGAGGGGACTGGCCCAGCTCTGTGCTGCCTGGTGTTCTTGAACCCGGACTCCTGACGGCAGCCCTGGGCCTCAGAACACTCTCGTGCAGGTGGATTCAGGAATAACCAAAGGAACAGATGCTTTGAGTTTTTCTATTTAAAAATCTCTTGCCTGGGTACTTCTGAATGTTGCTCTTAGTATTCTAGAACAAAATCTAGGACAACCTCCATAAGTAGGACCTGGGATGTTGTCATTTTAGCAAAGACAAGATCCAAGAGGAGGAGTCTTCATAAATGATATAGGTAACTGGAAACAAAGGCCTTCAGATCCCCCCCTTTTTATGATTTATTAGCTCAATGAACTCAGAATGATCAGAACTCTCATGCTCATAATAAACAGTATTGCCTTGAAAATCTAAAACCATACACATATTCTGAGTGTACACTATGTGTACATATACCGACAGTTACATACACACACATACATTACATATGTGATGAGCCATCTGTCTCCACCTGAAATCTGTAACAGCTCTATTCACCAGTTTCAACAGAGCAACACCCCAGTCCACCTGTACACTGATCATTTCAAAGCCAGGCTAACCCCATGTGGGATCCAGGTTTCATTCCAGCAAAGAGAACTTGGGAAAAGTCATAGTTACCAAGTTTCTGCAGAACAGGTGATCCAGGTGGCGATGGATTTCCACTGGGGGACAGGTACAGGTACTCTTTGTTCACCCCGGCAGCAAAATCAAAGGGGGACTGGTAGTCCTCGTCGGGCTCCATCACCCCGAGGTCCATTCCAGAATGCAAGGTGCATGACGTGGTCACCACCGTGTGGCCTTCAGCCTTGGACCACGCCCCCACCTGGCTGAGGAGTCCACCCCAGGTTCAGAGACCCGCCTCCTGGCCTAGGTGCTTCCTTCCCAGAGCCTCACACAGCAGGGCAGGTCATGCAGGCTTGTTTGATAAATGACTTCTCCAGAACAGCTTCAGGAAGGCTCTGCTCCCCACCTGCCAAGGCTCAGCTCCCCACCTGCCGTTTCCTGGGGCCAACAAGGAACCAGAGGTGGGAACGGCACTTTCTTGGGTCAACAAAGGCTGGCCGGGCCCTGCGGTGCCACCCACAGGTACCGACGGTTCCAGCAATGCCACACACTGGCACAGTCACAAGAAACTACTAGGTTTGTTTTTTTTTAACCAGTCAGGTGACCAAACGACATCAGGGCAGACGTAATCCTCTAGGACAAGGAAGGATTACCAGCCAGTAATCTCCCACCAGGGCCATCTGGGCCATGCCTGTCCCCACCTGGATTACAGCCCAGTTCTAAGCCCAGCTTCTTGCATCTGCCATCAGCTTTCTAAGGACAGCTTGGTATAGAATTAAAGCTGTATTTCCGCTCTCATTTTATCTAACGTCTGACCTGGTGTAACAAAATCTTAGTCTGACCTGCCTTCCCTCCCCCTCCTTATCCTCCTTCTTTTCTTGAAAGACCCTGTTTTGGTCACATGTGCTGCAAAGAGAAGAATCAACTCTGAAGGCAGAGCGCCGTTTTCCTGCACATTCTTTGTTGAACTCAGGCCGCACCTCTGCAGGTGCAATAAACCCCTCTGCAAACGTGCAGGGAAATCACACTTCCTCTGTTCAGCAGGCCCTGCAGAGGACTGGGCTCCGGTCCACCTGCCAGACAAAACGTCTAAGTCACCAGATTCATTTCCACACCAGTCTCTTAACAGACCCTTCCCACGGGAACTCGGGCCTTTGCTCCAGGAACCTGCCTGCATGGTTCCTCTACCGCTGAGGAGGTAAAAACAAAGGAACCGTCCCTTAGGTGGGCATGGTGTCACTGCAGAACAAAAAAAGCCAATCTACCTGATAAAAAAGGGAACTCAATATACTCTTCCTGAATTAGAAGCAAACAGAAAACCTAAAATATTTTAAGCATTAAAAACAAATCTGGCCCGGCCAGAGTGGCTCATGGATTGAGTGTCCTCATGAACTGAGAGGTCCCAGTTCAATTCCTGGTCAGGGCACATGCCTGAGTTGTGGGCTCCATCCTCAATAGGGGGCGTGCAGGAGGCAGCCAGTGTTTCTTGCTTACATCGATGTTTCTATCTCTCCCCCCTTCTCTCTCTCTAAAGAATCATAAAAACTTATTTTTTTAAAAATCTGTGTGTCTAGTATATAAACTATATATGCACCAAGACAGTCTATATTTGTCCCAACTTATGATTTATATTCCATTTTATTGTTACTCTCATATTCTTTTTTATTAATTTATTTGTGTTACATATGTTTCTCCTTTTTTCCCCATTGACACCCTTCGCCCCATCCCCCCCACTCCATCCCCAGCTTTGTTGTCCATGTCCATCGGTTATGCGTACATGCATATAAGTTCTGTGGTTTATCTCTTCTCTCCCCTCCCACCCCTTCTGAGGGTGGTCAATCTGTACCCTACTTCCACGTCTCTGGGTCTACCCTGTCCCTCAGACTGTTATGTTCATTATATTCCACAAATAAGTGAGATCATATGATATTTGTCTTTCTCTGCTTGGCTTGTTTCACTTAGGATAACATTCTCCAGGTCCCTCCATGTCATCTCAAAGGATAAGAGATCTTTCTTTCTTACAGCTGCATAGTACTCCATTGTGTATATGTTCCACAGCATTTTTATTCATTTGTCTACTGATGGACACTTAGGCTGTTTCCAGATCTTAGCTATTATAAATAGTGCTGCTATGAACATGGGAGTGCATATATTTTCTGATTGGTGTTTCAGGCTTCTTAGGGTATATTCCTAGAAGTGGGATCACTGGGTCAAATCGCAATTCCATTTTTAATTTTTTGAGGTAACACCATATTGTTTTCCATAGCGGCTGCACCAGTATGCATTCCCACCAGCAGTGTACTAGAGTCCCCTTTCTCCACACCCTCACCAACACTTGTTATTTGATTTGTTGATGGCGGCCATTCTGACAGGTGTGAGATGATACCTCATTGTTGTTTTAATTTGCATCTCTCTGATGATTAGTGATGTTGAGCATTTCTTCATATGTCTCTTGGCCATTTGTATGTCCTGTTTGGAGAGGTGTCTATTTAACTCCTCTGCCCATTTTTAATTGGGTTCTTTGCCTTCCTGTTGTTGAGTTGTATGAGCACTCTATATATTTTGGAAATTAACCCTTTATCTGATGTATCATTGGCAATTATGCTCTCACATACAGTGGGTTCCCTTTCCATTTTGATGATTGTTTATTTTGCTGCACAGAGCTTTTTAGTTTGATGTAGTCCCATGTGTTCATTTACTCCTTTGTTTCTGTTGCCTTAGGTGATGTATCAGTGAAAATTCTGCTGCGTATGATGTCTGAAATTTTGTTACCTTCATTTTCTTCTAGGATTACTATGGATTCACAAGTCACATTTAAGTCTTTTCTCCATTTTGAGTTTATTCTTGTGTATAGTGAAAGTTGGTGGTCTAGCTTCATTTTTTTGCATGTAGCTGTTCAATTTTCCCAACACCATTTATTAAAGAGGCCCTCTGTACTCCACTGTATGCTCTTGCCACCTTTGTCAAATATTAATTGAGCATAATGTCTTGGGTCCATTTCCAGGTTCTCTGTTCTGTTCCACTGACCTATATGCCTGTTCTTGTGCCAGTACCAAGCTGCTTTGATTACAGTAGCTTTATAGTATAACCTGATGTCCAGTATTGTGATCCGACCTACTTTATCCTTCTTTGTCAAGATTACTGTGGCTATTTGGGGTCTTTTTTGGTTACATATGAACTTTTGAAGTATTTGTTCTAGTTCTGTGAAATATGTCGTTGGTACTTTGATGGAGATTGCATTGAATCTATAGATTGCTTTGGGTAGTATGGACATTTTAATGATGTTAATTCTTCCAATCCATGAACAAGGTATGTATTTCCATGGTTTAATATCTTCCTCTATTTCTTTTTTCAATATCCTGTAGTTTTCTGCAGATAGGTCCTTTACTTCTTTGGTTAAGTTTATTCCTAGGTATCTTAATGTTTTTTCCACGATGATAAATGGGATTGTTTTTTCAGTTGTTCTTTCCGTGAGTTCATCACTGGTGTATAAGAATGCCATCGATTTCATGACGTTAATTTTGTATCCTGCTACTTTGCCAAATTCATTTATTAAGTCTAGTAGATTTCTGATTGAGTCTTTAGGGTTTTCTATGTATAATATCATGTCATCTGCAAATAATGACAGTTTCACTTACTCCTTACCAATTTGGATCCCTTTTATTTTTTCTTCGTGTCTGATTGCTGCGGCTAAGACTTCCAGTACTATATTAAATAAGAGTGGCAAAAGTGGGCATCCCTGTCTTGTTCCTGTTCTTAAGGGAAACGCTTTCAGTTTTTGCCCATTGAGTATGATGTTGGCTATAGGTCTTTCATATATGGCCTTTATTATGTCTAGATATGATCCCTCTATTCCCACATTGTTGAGTGTTTTTATCAGAAATGGGTGCTGGATTTTGTCGAATGCTTTTTCAGCCTCGATTGATATGATCATGTGGTTTTTCTCTAAATTTTTTTATATGGTGTATCACACTTATTGATTTGCGACTATTGTACCAGCCTTGCATCCCTGGGATGAATCCCACTTGGTCATGGTGAATAATTTTTTTGATGTATTGCTGGATCTAATTTGCTAGCATTTTGTTAAGGATTTTGGCATCTATGTTCATCAGAGATATTGGCCTGTAGTTTTCTTTCTTTGTAGTGTCTTTTTCTGGTTTTGGAATTAGAATTATGCTGGCCTCATAAAACGAGTTTGGAAGTCTTCCTTGTTCTTGAATTTTTTGAAATAGTTTGAGGAGAATGGGTGTTAGTTCTTCACTGAATGTTTGGTAAAACTCCCCTGTGAAGCTGGTCGGGCCTGGGCTTTTGTTTGCTGGGAGAGTCTTGATTACATCTTCAATTTCCTTATTTTTATTGGTCTGTTCAAGTTTTCTATCCATTCTCGGTCCAGTTTTGGGAGACTATGTGTTTCTAGCAATTTGTCCATTTCACTTACATTGTCGAATTTGTTGCCATATACTTGTTCATAGTATTTGTTAAGGATCCTTTGTACTTCAGTGGTGTCAGTTGTTACTTCTCCTCTTTCATTTCTGATTTTGTGTATTTGGGTTCTCTTTGTTTCTTGGTGAGTCTAGCAAAGTATCCATCAATCTTGTTTATATTTTCACAAAACCAGCTCTTTGTTTCAATGATCCTTTGAATTGTTTTTTAGTCTTTATGTCATGTATTTCTGCTCTGATCTTTACTATTTCCTTCTTTCTACTTACTCTGGATTTTCTCTTTGTTCGCTTTCTAGTTCTTTAAGTTGTGAGGTTAGACAGTCTATTAGAAATGTTTCTTGCTTCTTGAGGTAGGCCTGTAGTTGCTATAAACTTCCCTCTCAGAACTGCTTTCGCTGCATCCCATAGATTTTGTGTTGTTGTGTGTTCATTTTCATTGGTTTCCAGAAAGTTTTTAATTTCTTCCTTGATCTCCTTGGTAACCCATTCATTGTTTAATAGCATGCTTTTTAGCCTCCATGTGTTCAAATATCTTTGCATGTTCTTGTTGCAATTGATTTCTAGTTTCATGCCATTGTGATCTGAGAAGATGATTTCAATCTTCTTGAACTTGTACAGACTTAGTTTGTGTCCTAACATGTAGTCTATCTTTGAGAATGTCCCATGTGCACTTGAAAATAACGTGAATTCTGCAGTTTTGGGGTGTAATTTTCTGTAGATATCTATTAAATCTATTTGGTCTAGTGCTTCATTTAGAGTCTATGTTTCCTTGTTAATTTTTTGTCTAGAGGATCTATCCAGTGATGTCAGCGGGGTGCTGAAGTCCCATGCTATAATTGTATTGCTGTCAATATCTCCTTTGAAGTCCTCCAGAAGATTTTTAATATATTTTGGTGCTCCTATATTGGGTGCATATATGTTTACCAAGTTATATCTTCCTGTTGGATAGATCCTTTCAATATTATGTAGTGACCTTCTTTGTGTCCTGTTATGGCCTTCATTGAAATCTACTTTATCAGATATGAGTATTGCTACCCCAGCTTTTTTTCCCTTTCCATTTGCTTGGAAGATTTTTTTCCATCCCTTCACTTTCAACCTATGTAAGTCTATCATTG